TTGTTCATTTCTCGCTATTAAACTACGACCGTTACGCATTAAGCTTTGTGACATAATGAAGTACCACGATTCTTTTTTGTTTCGTGACATATCATCTGCGACTAAACTCATCTGACCGCTAGTGATTTGAGATTCCCAATTAATGAAAAATCCGTGGGAAAATATTCCATTGATAATGACATCTGTGATAGGCGTTATTATCCATTTCTGGGTACTACTCAAGACAGTGGTTGTCAATCAATTAAGCCACCAATGTGACACATTTTCGAGATGAAGAGCAATGAATCGAGGCTTCTAATTAGTACATAATTAATTATAATATAGAAAAAATCGCTCCCACTTTAGAGCTAATACTGAGGGAAGGAGGAAAGCCCGGCGTTAGCCGGGCGGTCCGACTGGTATATATGTATATATATGTGGTGAAAATTTAGTTGGGGGTGAGGGGGGTGGGGGGGGGGGCACCCATCCGAAGGTCAGTATATCAAGAAATGAATTCAGTTTAACGTGTTAGTCTCTGTTATATTAACACTGTATCGGATGCGTAGAGGATGATGGGAACCGACCACCTTAGCTCTTTTATGCGGTTTCAGCTAAAAGAATTCAGTTTCCCAAATAAGCCTAGGTAGGGTAGGAGCTCCTGGGTGGTTGGGATGATTACCTCATGGGAAAAAAAAGAAAGAAAACTTGCCCACCGCGGTACTCCTTCTCTACGGAAGCCCTTATTTAAAAACTAGCATGTCCGTGATATAACATATAACGCGGGCTTCCTACCTTCTTTGAGGAAGTTATAGTGATCGCCTAACTCTCCACCTCATTTTTGAAACAAGTAATAGTTTCCTGTACACGAAATTCGACTTAGGACTAACATGGCAGTGCAAATAGTATTCTCTGTAGTGAGCTTACGCCTTAGATTGGAAGTCTCGATCTTCTGCTCTTTTTCTTGTAATGAAACAACCATCGAAAATTCAACTGTTAGACAACCAAAGATAATGACGTGGAGATTTTTTAGTGATGATAGCAACACTATCAGATGTCTTTATCGATGGACCCTTTTCTTTACGGAGTTATCATTAGTTGAGAATTTCAGATTACCGGTGGTCGATTAGATTTTGTCGCAAATGACCTTGAGCGAAGAAGATCCTTCATTGAATCACAGACCTTGCTGGGTGGCGGTCGTAATTTTATAGCAAGAAATGAACAAAATTCTCATCTGCTTATCGTATTGCCGCTAGTGGGTCCCTATCACTGCACGTGACACTCGCTTTTGTCACCCTCCTCTACCATCCCTCTTATCGAGTGAAACATACTGAACAGTCAAAGCAGCATCACAAACCCCGAAGGGTTAGAATTTTGATTGGTAGGAGGCTCTTTCTCTCTTAGATGGTTTCCGCTGTTAATACGAAAAGCTGAAATCCTATCAAATTTTGAAGCTTTAGGTCCACTTAAACGGTAGTAATGAATTTGCGGCCCGAAATTTCTATTACGCCTCGCCCCCTGTGAGCGGAATCCGGTCCTACCACCTGCCATAAGTGCCTTGCTGCCCCCACTACTGCCAAATGTGACCTTTCTAGGTCCACGAGTCCACGGTCCCGAGAATCGGAGTTATGAATTTCCGGTCACACACACATATACACATACACATACATACACATACACATACACATGCACATACACATACAAAAAGACAACGACAGACACACTCAGCGAATTACATTTAGTAGGAATATATACATTGATGCTTCATCAACTCTATAGCAACGCCATGGCCAGAATGTGGCCGTTCTCCAAGTAATTCATTGTTAACGTGGGGTAGGGGTCCGGCAGGGTAATATAGGGTGGGCCAAAATTATGATTACAGCGTGCGCTGCCGCTCATATCGATTTTTTTCTGAGGTCATAGCAATTCGTTCGCTTTCTTCTATTTCACAGGGTAGTTTACATTGTTACCTTCCTAATGATACTAAACTTTTGGTAGATTTTGAAATTGATGTTAGCGTCACGACTCCGTGAATCAAACGTCGCTTTGCATTTACAAGCACTTTTGGCACGGTGCATCTACAGATGACTCAGCGTAACAAGGCAAGTGGTACATTCAACCGTAATACGCCCTCGAGAGTTGGGAACAATTGCAGATAGACGTGGTAAACCTACGAGGTTCGCAGTTATATTTAGGGGTACTGTTAAGGAAGCGGGGCGAAGGTCCGCATAGCAGCGAAGTTCGTTCTGAGCTCAAAATGGCTGAATGAATGGATATCTCATAAAGTTTTCCGCGCGAAATCGTGAGACATCATCTGCACGACAAGGCCTTTATACAATCAGAAGGTGATTCCCCCAGTGAGCAGACTTAAAAGAAGAGAAATGTTGGTTCATCAAAGCTGCCCCACCGCATACAAAAAATTGTAGTACGGGACACCGACGGAAAGATATCCGCAGTGAAAGAGGTGCCCAATAAGCAGGGCTACAAGATTTGTATAAAGCTGAATGAAATGGAAGTGATGCAGCGCTAGACTTCCTCACTTTCTGCGATATCCTTTGCGAGCGTCACCGCCGAGGCAAAAGCACCAATTATTTTTGTAAAATAAGGAGTGAAAGTTGTTTTGGAGACCTGTTCGATCTCTTCATGCGCAGTAGGACACTTAGGCGATTCAAACCGGACATACTGTCAATATGATGCTACTGACTGCAGATCAGAAATTGTCTAAAAATTCCGTAGGAGGGGTTCCCTGACTTCATAACCTTAAATCAGTGACCACTCTGGAGCCCTGACTTAAATCCCATGGATGTCTCAGTGTGGTCAGCCTTTGAGATGAAAGCATCCTTTAGCCCAAACAGGAAGTGGAGTAATCTCAAAAATGCCTTGCAAAAAGCTGGGAATCAGAAAGCAACAGATCCCAGTCTCAATGTACTATTTTGATAAGAGATTAGTGATAGGCACTTTTATGAAACTGGTTTGCTTTTTTAGCTTTCTATTCGTTTTCGGGGATGTGATGTCTGTGTAATCAAATTTTGGCCTACCCTGTACAATTTTGTTGCTGCTTTCGTGAACACCATGCGTCACCTGGATTACGAAGACTGCTGAGTGAAGGTCGAGGGCCGCTACTTAAATCATCTCCGCCCTACTGACTTAAGGTGTTTATAGCAACGAACATCGCGGAGGCGGAATGAATGCTGACAGAGTTTGACAGTGCCTGTGAAAAGATCAGCTTATCGAACTTGGCCAAGACGAAGACGGTTATGAGGAACGGATTGGTTACTGATGGTTCTTTTACATTAAATGGAACGAATTTTCTGAATGCTCTACTAAAAGTATTTGGGTCGAGAAGTGCACATAATGAATGAACTGGCTCCCGGCTAAAGATAGGGACAGTCGCAGCAAGGGTTGCGATTGCGGTGGAATCTTCGACAAAGGACGACGACGGTATGTAGTCAGCATCAGTGAACGCACTTTGGATAAAACTATGCTATGAATTTCTCTTCAAGTGCGAAGATGAAGCCGGATTTTCGAGCTCCATCAAGAAGCGAAATTCAGGAACGTCGTTGCCTATGCCGATATTTAAATATCAGGTGGGTTGGACACTGTGCGATACTGTGTAATCAGGACGTTTATCCACTGGTTCCCTTCGAACGTTAAACGATTACCAGTACGGCCAGCGCGACGGTCGAACTACTTTATGGGAGGAATGTTACTCCTCGAGTTCTCGAGCGAGTATGATCCGCTGGACAAATTTGTCTCGCGACATGACGAATTGAGACGCCGCTGTGTCTGCTCGGGGAAGCCGGTGAGTAACGAGACATGTGACGAGTGCCATATGAATCTATCACTTGTATTCAGGCAAATTATAAACACTGCAGTTATATTGTGAACTACCGGTTAATTTTTTCTATAATTAATAACAACTTCATTCCTAACTACCGCATTCCCACCTTGTTTTTGAAAGTTATTGTCCTTACCACATCCTTTGTGGCGTCGTGTGCCATGCGATCAATTTGTGTAGAGGTTCTTTAATATTCAAAGCCAACTGACAGAATGAAGCTTTCACTGAAATGCGTTAGGACTCCCTAAGAAATCGTGTTTACTCTAATTTTAGATGCAATCAGTTGATGAAGCTCGAAACGTTCGGCTTGCTATGCACAACACACAATGGCCGGTTGCAAATCCGAAAACTTTATCCGTACAGTTTGACACGAAAGAGAATGTAAGTCTTTCAGAAACATTGCTTGTAGGCGCGGCTATGCAAGAACTTTTTTGCCAATTTTCATAATTACTGTTAGGATTGTAATTTGAAATAGTGGCACAATGGAGCAAAAGAATGTGGGAAGGTGCTCATGACATTTTGGAAGGTGCATCGGATACCGCATTCTTTTTCTGGGGTTGTTCTTGACAGTAATGCCCGCCACTGTTTGAGATATTCTGGTCGATAGTGATGGATGTTTTGCTACTAAACTGACCTGATACGTTTGAGTTCGGGAACAATTTATTGTCGCTTCTCAAGTACTCCTCATCATAAAGAACACGACGCGCTTTACAACCGATCGTTCGAACGAATGAACTTCTCTAAATACACTCTGTACGCATTTCAGTTAGAAAGGCATCGAACTGGAACTTCGTCTGCTGCCTCTTTGTCAGCATCTGCACCCTCGACACGCATTGAACGAAAACTGTCTGATCGTGAAAGACCGGTTATTGGACAGCTCCCAGGACGTAATCCTAGTTTGAAGATCACGGTACGTAACCATCTCAGCCTTCTTCATTGAGTTGCTCTCACCATTCTCGTTATGAACATCAGGTTGAAGCAGCAGTTCGAGAAAATGAAAAGCGGGAGGAGACTAAAGAGCGGGAAAGAAGAGAACGTGCCCGTGCCGAAAAACATGCTGAAAGTCGTCGAGATAAAGATAAAGAAGATAAAAGCGAAAGAGTTGAAGAAAGGAGGCATGGCGAAGAGAAGCATGCATCTGTAAGTTTCAGTACAATCCTCATCTCATGTTTTTTTTTGCTGAGTCATTAAAATTGAGAGTTTTCGATTTGTCTTAGCTCGTCCTGATATTGACCAAATCTCATTTTTTTATCATCTAGATTACTTCATACGTTTCCTGATGTTGTATTATAATTTTCGGCGTACTCAATTACGAAATGATTAACCAATTAAGCTTCACAAGTTTTGTAACTTTGTAAAGCAAATGCCCTGCCCATTACAATGAATAAGACAGTTTTTAGAAAAAGGACGATCATGGCAGGAAGCGGCAACGTTCTGAAACTCCGCCGTTTAGCCGTGCAGCATTAGAGAAACGTGAACGACGAGATGTCCTGCCCCCACACGATCGTGAAAAGGAACATGATCGCGATCCTTGTCGCGACCGCGACTGCGACCGGGATCACAGTAGAAGGCGTAGTAATGAAGATAGAGCTAGAGATCGGCATCAAGATACAGAAAAAGAGAAGGAGCGGGAAGAGAAACCGGTGAAAACAGCAGATCAGTTGTTCATGAAGACTAAAACATTGCCTGCTATCTACTTTCTGCCTTTGACTGACGAAGAGGTTAGGCTTCCCAAATTTCTTTTTCTTTCATATTTGTAATGTTGAACCATGTGTGATGGAGTAGTTTCGTTTCTTGTAAGTGGATTGTAGTAATGTGCACTTTTTGTCGTCCCAGCGCGTTCAACGCGAGGTTCTTACGTGTGTCGGGTTAGTAACTACATCTTCTCCGTGCTGGATTGTCATATGCCGGTTCGCATTTAAGATGTAGTTGCAGTGAGTAACGGAAAACCCACATCCATATCCACGAGCAGTTAATGCAGAGAGCACAGCGGAACGAATTTAAATTCAAGTGGAACGAAAAAGAACAGGGCTGCATGTATTCATTAGGGCAGTCGAGGGAGGTATAGCATGCAGCTAGCTACGTGCTGTTATGTGACGTATTTGCTTTTGACTTGTCCCTTTGAAGTTGAGTTGTGTTGCATTTTGCCCTTTAACGTCTTTATCAAAAATGGGATCCCATCCCTTACGATGCACTCTCCGTCTTGAGCAGCGACATATGACGCACGCATAAGGGAGGTGGTTAGGCCACTGTGTAGAATCTTGGGCGGTCGACAGCTTCTTGGAATTCTCGAAACGATCTCAAGTTCTCCAAATAAATTAGTTTTTGACGAAATAAACTTATTGACCCAAAAATTTTTTCAGGCTCAAGAACGACAGGAAAAGATACTGGCGGAGAAGAGGAAGCGTGAGCAAAAGGAGTTGGAACGCGAAAAGGAGCGGGAAAAGGAGAAATCTCGTCATTGAATGGGCTACATGCCATCATATGATGGATGTTCTGCAGTCGTGGTGTATTCGCCGATGATTCCGAGTATCTTAGTTTGGGCGTATCCATTTCTTTTCGTTCCGTAGCTTGTGCTTAATTCGTATTCATAATGGAGCAGTCGTCGCTGATTTATTTTTTTTTTTGCATATCCATTTATTTACCTTTTATGTCTATAATTGTATGTGTTGTTTTCAACAGTGTCCGTTCCTCGATAGTCGTATGGACGCGATATTAGCGAGTATGGCAGTGTATGGAATGGAATTAACGATGGAAAGAATTGAGAACGGATGATTATCAAATGCAGCTTAATCGATTTGATTTGCTAATGATCCGTAGAGATCTTATCGTCATCATCGCAACGATCGCCACTCGATGAGCATATAGTCGTCGTCCATCTTCCTCCACCTAGCCGTCGCTAATCATTCAATAAACAACGTCTACCAGGGTGATCATCATCGCCACCACCTGTGCGTCTACAAGTTGAGATCTATTCACAGAAACACATAAGTCTGTTACAGTTCTCGTTCACGTTCTAAGTGACAATAAATATTTTTCATATTTGCTCTACATTTTCTACAACGTTGTTCGCGTTGATACTTCAAAAGGACGAGCTCTTCAGTAGTATAAGCAATGGGAATGGTTAGATACAGTTGGACTGGCATAGCCGTTGATTTGGAACGAAATCATCAACTTACTAATGATAGTGACCTACCCGAATACTGCAGAGTTTTAGCAGAATAGAACTATACTGAACGTTGTTTGCTGGGATTTGCTAGTTGTTACTGAGGTGTGACGTTGTAGGTGTAATGTATAGGACGCTAAAAGTAAGAAGGATGTGAAGAGTAATAGTCCTTTCCTTCGTAGACACGTATTTTACAAGATGGACTGGTAACATTAATCTCTTCCGTAGTTCATTCATAGGCACGTCAGCGCATTTTGGAATTTTTGAGCTGAAACCGTTTTCCAGTGTGTAGGCAGGCAATGTGTGTAGATTAATTAGGGATGAGTCTCGAATGACGAACGTTTGGACCATCCAACGTTGCCCTCCACAAAGAGCCATAGTTGTATGCTTGTTCGGTCTACACAGTATTTCATCCATGCACTACTTTTACTACCAAAATGACTTACTTGACCTATTACGGATTAAGGAACGTTCGAAGGGTCGTGCAGGACTTGTGGAGGACACCTGCACTGCATTACCATCACCCAAAACGCCACCATCGCACAAGAGTAACGAGGTAAGTAACGAGAAACGAGAGTTTGTCAGTTTAGATTTCTTGAATTCGAAAAGAGGGTTTTGCAAATCTAGGATTAGTTGAATAGAAATCGTAGGAGACAACATTTATTTCGTATTGACCCTGATTATCGTCTATTGTGTTGAGGCGTCCTCGGAGTATTCATCCTTGAATTTGGTGCACAGCTTGTAGAAGTATGAAGCACTTTGGTGATTTCCAATATTTTCACCGAAGAGACCTCTGGTGAAAGTTCTCGAAGTGTTTGTGCAATGTACTGGCCTGAAAGAGTTGTTTAGTTCAGTTGGGATTTGTGCAAGCATCTGATCATTAACTGTGTTACTGATCAGTTTTTTGCGGTTTTCATTCTTGGATCTTTAAGGTTTCGAGGAATAAATCAAAATTCATTGATTGCATTAGTGATCAACCAAAAAGCTGTCAAAAACCGTCCCAGCAAGTAATGGACTGATACTACAAAAGAATTTTCAGATTTCAGAGTAGTCATTGCTGGGCATAGTCACAGGCGCAAAAAGCGCGCAGTAGTGCTACGTATTTATGCAGTCAAGAAACGAAATTCTAAAATGATTGCGAGTAGTTACTGCCAAACGGTGGCCTCGTCTCACCAAGTATATCGAAACGGTCAGGGTTGTTTTCCAATCGCTCCGGGTTCACAGAGCTGCTAATACGTTTGACATCGCGATCTGCAAAATGCTGAAGGCAATAATGTCGTCCATTCCCAGATTAGTGTAATTCAACGATATCATTTCTCTATTGTAAAGTTGTAAGCACTTGCCAGTTCAGCTGCGATAGTACAAGACTACAGGGTGACCCACATGATGTGTGACGCAGAAAACTAGCATCAAAATTATACAAATCAAACCAAATAGAAATCTTTACTCCTGTACAATCATCACAAAATTGTAAACAACATATCACTTCTCTCATGCAGAATGACCACCTTTCGCTTTAATGCAAGCATCCAACCTCTTTCGGAAGTTTTCAAGAATGCGCGCGATTACTTTCATCCCACGTTTCTACAAGAGAGCTTTTTTTTAGAGGATTCAAAGACCGTATTTGAAAGCGCAGGCTTTTTGCTCCAGAATCGTTCATACAGCAAAATCCAAAGGATTGAGATTGGGGAATTTGATGGTCAAATCTGCTTCACCCCGAAAACCCGGGAGCGTGGTTTCACAACATTGCAGCATCTTGTTTGCGCTGTGGGCTGGTGCCCAATCCTGCGGAGGTTCAGCTGACGTTCATCGCGTTCCCTTCCGCCCAAGGGATCACCGCATCCTCCAGCCCAGAAGCCCATACGTTCATTTTTTTGTTGTCCGTCACACTTCATGTGGGTCACCCTGTATGTTTACCCTAGCTACAGTGACACCTGTACAGCTCACCCGCACGAAGGTGCTCCTTTTTACCCGCGAGGCCTCGCCGAAGAGAAGTCTGACGGCGCACATAAGCCGTACTGGATGGAGATGCTACGGAGGCACTGCTCGTATCGGTAAATCCATCCTCGGTAGTCACGCTTCCCTCCTTGTCAAACTGTTCTCCCTTCACGTCTTCTGTACTTTCCTCTTCATCATGTCCCGTAACGGTGTTGTGAGTTCTAGAACCCGAGAACATGAAAAAGTAAGAAACTTTCAAAAGACACATAAGCTCCTCTCATACCTGAAAGCCAGAGTGTAATATGAGCAATGAAAGCGAAGGTAGTCTCTTTTAACATACTGCTTATTAGTTTACTACCAAATGACCGGCTACACTTGCCAGGCTCGATACCTCGGCAACTCTCCAATAAGCAGTGCGACTGGACTTGCCAGCGTCAAATTGTTGAGGTGCAATTCACTCACGGTACCCACTGCTAAGAATGATCTCAAAAAACCGAGGTTTCACTTACACAGAACTTGTACTTGCCATGAGAAATTGCAGTTCTTCATCGTAAACCCATGCCTTCGCAGCACCGGGAGGATAGTGCTTTAATCGCTTTGAAAAAGTATCTTTTAAACGTTTCCATGTTGTTTTCGCAGCATGCATATCTGAACAAGGATGATTCCATTACAAACTAAGGTTTTTGTACTGATGGGTATGAAATAGATTGTCAATGTCGTCCTAGTGCAGAACGTTCCAGAAATTTACCAATATCTTTTATCGAAGGGAACATTTTTCTATGGAAACCTACTCACTGCAGCTAGTAAAGTTAAATCGAGTGCGATCGAGTGTAAGCAGCGGTTTAATAAAAGAGCGCCATGTCTGGGCCTCGAAGTACTGATTATTTCGTTCCATGTGAAATTGAGTGGCGAAATAATCAAGTTCTCAACAATACGAAAAGCCTTCAGCTGCGATTCTCTCAACGGTTTCAAGAGGGGATCAGCGGTTTCTCCACCAATTCAACGATTCACCCTCGTGAATAAAAAAAACATTGCTTGTGTAATAAAAGATAAAATGTGTAGGTTTATCGTTGTTATCGGTACACATAAGATTGCACGAATAAAATTCAATGAACTACGTTTAGAACAATGATTGGATCGTATTCATTAAGAATCGATCTGGATCATTTGAACCGCACCCGCAAAGCAGGAAATCGACAAGTATCCGACTTCTATGCTATAGCACCTATCTTTTATTTATTCATGACACATTTCTTTTCAGGAGTAACATACCATTCAGCGTCACAGTTCACGATAGTAATGTTCTCTGAGATTTACCCCTGGACTAATCTGTGACCTCCAAATGTGACACAAGGGACGCTGTTGGGTTGAAAAATGGTATAGATAGAGGGTATTAAAGGCCCAAAACCAACTTAGCGAAAGGCGCCCCAAAAGCTGACGAGTTCCCACAGCGTTGTAGATTCTGTAGAGGTCGCATCATTCTCACAGGGACGCACATGTTGAGGACGCTCACTGCAGCGAGCTGTAGGAAGTGGCCCACACATTTGAACAGCTCGTCCAAATACCCCCTCCAAGCAACTTTTTGTCGTTACATTCTCGTACAACGCCTAATTTTGCTAATTTTTTGAAGCCTTATTCTTCTCTGAAGTTTGCGCTTTTTTTACAATTTCTGCACTATTCTGTACCATCACTTCGATTATTTCTCTACACCTGGATACCCTCAACTTATTATGAGCTGTGCTTTTGAGGAGCTTCATCTTTCAGTTCCGATAGTTCTGGTAAAACACAGCAGCATTATGTGTGGGTGATTCAGTAATACAGTATAGCCCGATAGGTTTTCGTTCTCTTTATGCTTGCTATTTCTCCTCTCTTCCGCTTCTCTGTTTCTATGAAAAAGATGCACAGCGCGCAATTTTGCTTGAGGAGGCAGTCGTCAGTGATATGATCAGAGGTGAGCTTGTTCTTAGCTTTCTTTTAATTTGATTCGGTGACGTTGTGGCTTTAACAGGCTCGAACTTTTCTGGGCCTCTGATACGTGAACTAGCGTTAATTACAAATTCATTTGGAGGAGAAAAAGTGGAAGTTGTTAAAAGGTTGCATGATCCAACTTTCCGTCATTAAAATTGGGCTCAACACAGAAGAGCATTTCCTATGCATCCAATAATTTCAATTGCCATAGAATTGACGAAAGTTCTTACCTGTGTCGAAACCTTCAGCTTGTAGTTCGGCTACGATTTGATCCCAAGCGGTTAGCCGTACGTCCTGCTTTTTATAATCTTCTGAGGTAAAATTCCAAATTTCGGGATGACGCTCTACCCTAGCAATCACGGCCAGCTTGAATTTTCGATCCATTTCTAAAAACAAATCTGTTGTCAGAGTTGGAGGGCTAGAGATACGTTGAGGCATTCGGTGATTAAGCACGAAATTTCTCAAGGAAATGTTCGTTAGAACGAAGGAAACAGGTACGAGCCCATGAACTCTGTCAGGGAGCGACATGATGGTAACATAAGGCTAGAATAAGCTGGCCGCTGACCTCGACCGAGGGACGCAGCTGGCGCGGCGATCCTTACGGACGCCTGGGTCAAGCGGCTGAGGAGCGCCACAAGCCGCCGAGCGCGTGAATTAGTCGGCTGCGTGACACAGCCTGAATCGATCACCAGACGGCGCCGGCAAACCGGTCAGCTGCGCCAGCCGCCGCGCTCAAAGCGACGCAGACGGTTGAGTTCGAAGAAAAAAAAGAAAGGAGAACGAGGCCAGTTTCAATGAATATTGAACATATCCTGAATGCTTCTTTCTTCTTTTAGCATTTTTCTTTGATGTACGAAACGTTTGTGTGAGAAAAGCCACGTTCATTCATCAGCCTGGATAGGTTGTAGAACGAAGTAATAATGAGCGACTTCTAAAAATGTGATAACCGTACTCCCAACTCAAGGTTTACTCGGAACTGAATGTCTTCCTTGTTCTTTCTCAAAGAAGTTCTTAAATAAGTTTTATCTGAAGATACCCCTTTATAACGCGTGAATGAAAATGATTCGAAAGTTAAAGGCACCGTTCACAAAAAAGTTAGGGTACTCTTTTTTGACGGGAATTGATAGAACTACTCTAGAATAAAGCGGATAACAACGAGAAAAGCGCAAAAACGATGAACAAAACGAATTACAAAGGGTCAAAAAAGAGCTGGAAAGGGGGGTTGGACGAGTTTCACATTGAAATAACGGCGATTAGGGAGTGTTCGGGCGAGTGCACGAAGGCGACGTAATGTGTTGTCTGCAATAGCAGGCAACATTGCGTCTCTGGCAATTTGCCAACCAGCGTATCGATTTTTCCCCAACTTCGCTCCAGTGCGAATGTGATGAAGGACAATTAGAACTCGTAGTCAGCCTAGCGAGGGGCGGAGGCCTCCCGTCCCCCACTGTTCCTGCCCTTATTGTGCCCTATCCAGCCGTTTTCCGACCACATTCCTGCACAATGGTATCAGAGGGGGCTTCGAATTCAAACCATGTGCAAATCTCCGAAACCACTTTTTCGTGAACAGTGCCTTTAACTAAGATATTTCAAGAGTTTCTATCAACAGTATTGTTCTTTCACCTACCTGGTGCTGTGGTGCTGGCTGTTTGTTACTTTCGACAAGGTTACTCACTGTCATAGATTAGAACTTCCAGTCTTACCATAGCCAAAACTATTTATGCCCCCTTGCTTTCACCTCCATTTTGATCGTTTGTGGTTATGGCACCGGCATGAAAGTTTGTCCCATGAAGAGGTCAGTCTTTCTTCTGCCAAAATTGGGTACCTGATCCGGCCACGAAGGGATGGAAGGTTCGGGTTGTTTGGGTAGGTATTCATCAGGCATTTAGATAATTACTGATTTTCCTTCCCGAATATGATGAGATTTTGGATGTATCTATTTTTATTGGCTTTGATCATGACCGGCATCGAACATGTAAAGTGAGGGATTGCAATGTAGGTGGACGCATTCCTTGTCATTTTTAGTGAATATCAATTTATTGTTGGACAAAATCATCTAAATGTTAGAAATGAAACAACATGAGGAGTTCTTTTTTTTTTTCCAAAGCATAGATTTATCAGGTTGGCAAGAAAGTCCTTCCAGAAAATAGAAGCCATTTTGATTCCATTTCTCAAACTTTCTAGATCAGTGGAATTCTGGAAATACATTCACCAAGAGATCAACAACCATCTCTTATTCTTTGAGCAAATCACTGATGCCTTTCGTCAAGAATTCAGGAATTTGTGGCTCAAAGAAATTATTAACTGCCGTTTCATATCGCGTTAAGTTGCGCCTTCCTTCCTCCGTGGACTTCCTTCTCCTGAGGAGACGCTCGAGAAGGTGAGCACATGGTCATGAGAAGTCACAGCGTTTCGGGTGCACGAATGATGAACAACCTGGAACGAAGCGAGCCGATGAAATTTTGACAGGTGCCTAAGCGAAATTTCGACATGCGCTGTCCTGTAGACTTACTTAGACTGAGACTTAGTTCCTCCCGTGCTGGAGAGCACATCGGGCGACGAGATTTTTCCACTGTTGCCGGTCTTGTGCAATCATTTCTCCCTCGCTCCTAGAAACATTTATGATGTTTAGATCATTCTCAAACGTTCGGGGACGTTTCTGGGACGGCCTCTTCTTCGCTTGGCTCCTGGAGGTATCCAGTTCATGGCCACTCGTGAAACTCGTTGCTGTGCCATGCGCAAAATGTGACCAGCCAGTCGAAGTCTACGCTGTGCCACAACCACGTGGAGGCAGTTTGAACCACAACGTCGTAAAACTTCCTCATTTGTGACGTGGTCCGTGTAGCGTATTTTCATTATCCGTCGTAGGCATCTCTGATGAAAGGCGTTCAATCTCTTGACGAGGCTAGCAGTACTCTTCCATGTCTCACTTGCATATAATGCCGTAGGGATCACGATAGAGTAATATAAGCGCAACTTGATGTTCTGTGATATCGAAGAACTGGCTCATAATGGCTGGAGTCGTCGGAATACGGCAGCAGCTTTCGCTATTCGAATGCGAACTTCCATTTCAGCATCACCGTTGTGAGTTATCGTACTTCCAAGGTACGTGAAATTGCCAACGGTTTCCAATATTGTATCGTCCACGCTGATGTTCA